AAAGTTACATTTTAAGGCTTGCATAGACTAAAATTATGATAGCTAGATCCGTGATACCACAGATACCAATCATATTAAAAAATTAAAAATATTCTTTTAAAACCTCATTTAGCCTTAAAAATAAAAGATAATATGACAAATAATTGCATTATTTACTCTAGTTCAACATACATTCAAATATTTTGCCCAACCAAAGTTCTTTTGCAAGTGCATTAGCATAACAAGTGGGGTGCAGTTAGTATCGTCGGCACGTCTGTCTGTGTCTCACGTTGCATAACTGTACTGCTGCGTGATTTGAACTACAACTACCCGACAAAATTGAGTTCTGAGACTGAATATCATATAAGTAATTAAAAATTCGATTCTTTATCAATGTGATCTAGACACGTGTGAGCTCTGTTAAAAAAAAGAACTGGCAACGCGTGGTGTGAACCATTTCGAGCTACTTTTGACCAATTTTTAACTCTAAAATTGTTTTTACCAACCAAGCAAATATATCAAACTAATAGAAGTCCAGTCCAGTCTAGTACAGTCCAGTATAGCCGAAATTAATTAAATCCTGAGCTCGTCGGTGAAGTGAATCACTTCGATGAAGTCGAGAACGATCCATCAATATCTTCACACTTATTTCACAATTTATGGATAGGATAGCCATCACAGTAGCAACAATTGAAATTTATCCTAGTTCTAAACACAAATTATAAAAAACTCAACAGTACAATGTTTGTGTTTTAAATATATTTCATTAAGCAATTCCTTTTAATATTTATTACACTTTGGTTTAGGCATATTTGCTCACGCCACTGGCATGAGGGTGCCCCGGGATGGGATAGATATGTTGCACGACCACAGATTGCAGCTGGAAAAAATCTGCCACAGAATTATTAAATATGTCAGTAAGATTAATAGCTGGAAAGGGAAGAATATACACTCCCCTGCTTTCAAATAAAAACGGTATGTCGGAATTCCATAAGGACTTGCCAGAATAATACTGCTGATCCCATCACAGACAGCCCAACTTCAACATCAGCCCCGGAGTTTGAATGGTTTCGGGCTTGTATGCTGTCTTCTCTACAAAATCTCTTGTCTCAGTTTGAGCTCACGGCTATGTATCCAAGAAGAAATGCTCTCTCGCGAAATGCTGTTGATTCATGAAGTTCATTAGGAAACAAATTTAAAAGTTCGCTAAAGTTATCACCGTACTCTTTGGTATCTCATATAAGGATCTTCCAATAAGTTGTTGCCAAGAAACATACCCTAGGTCTATACTGGTGAAACTCGGACGTTCACATAAGAGATAGTATATGGTTAAATAAAACCCAACTGAAGGGTACGGGTATAAAAATCTCAATCAGTATTTCTGAATAAAGGCAGGCATAATGCCTTTATGGAGGCAAAGAAGTTATTTGATGTCTCTAAGTGCTGATGGCACCCGGCATCAAGTGATTTCTATGGCTGAGCTGAAAGTGATTCCTCTCCCTTCTTCTTCTTCTTTTCATCAACTACTATTAAGCTCCGTAATCAGACTGTCTCCAGAGTACCAAGCGTCCCAAAAGGGTAATAAAAAGGCTAATAGTTTAATTTTCAAAATTCCTTATTTTTAATTTATGTTTTCAGATGCTTGTTCACTGTTTTCTTTGATTCAACCTGATTTTAAACTCCTTTTTATTACTTTTTTGTTTAAATTTCAGCAATAGCTGCATAATTGTGATTGTTAAAGTTTTTTTGTACTGAACATGCTGGGTGTCGAATGTAATGATACTATATCTTACTGTTTACACCACCATTTGGTTATATTTTGTCATAACATAGAACTTTAACCTTTATATGTATTTCTGTAATGTATATATTTTTCAAACTCTTCATAATATCTGTGCTATTCATCCTCTTAAGTACATTTAAACTTAAGACATAAGTTAATGAAATAAACATCAATGCATTTGATCTGCTTTTATTGATATTATGTAAAATTTCTTAAATTTAGCACGCGTCACGCTATAAATAATAATTACTAACTAATAAGTTTTAATGATGCGTACTTGCGGATATTACACAATATTATCATTAAAATGGCATTAGACAAGTCTTAATAGTGTTTTTCTGTAGACATACAATATTGAACATAGTAATGATATTGCACACATAGTAGTTTAATGATTTCGTGATATAAATTTTCTGTGAATTAGAAGTTTGATTCCCAGCTTATGGTTGATGTAGACGAAGAAATGTCCTTAGTGACTTTATAGACCTGATATAAACGTTTATTTCATTTAGTTAATGCTTTATTTTATTAAGAGCATAACTATTATCGTTATGTGATGTCAAGCCTTCTTAGATAAACAGAACCTTGGAGAAGGTTATTCGCCATTTTTTTTGTGTTACTTCTTCACCAACGACGGTCGCTAAGCTACTGTAGCTAATTTGCCAATTAAACGTATCTATGTACATCTATGTACAACCTTCAAACAAGTATACAAGATTTTCTTTATTTATCAGCATTTATCGGCGTTATGCATTTAAATGAATATTAACCGATTATAAAAAATGAGAGTACCTATCTCACGCATTCGACTCGCTCCGGCGAACACTTTCACTATTGTTACTTGTATTTCTAATGCTATATTATCCTGTGATATCTTTAACCGAAACGTTAAAAGAGGATTATGTTATTCGATAAACAATTCTGCTACTCATTGGACGTTTAATAACCAGCGTAATTTTCTATTCCAAGTTCATTTATATATACAACCACAACCCTTATGTAAAAATAGTTCTAGCCCCCCGAAAAGAGAGGTACCAATGTCCAACAGGTCTAAAAGGATCTTTCTAAAATTTATTAATAAAAACATTAGATTCAAGGTAGCCTTTCCTGGCGTTACAATTAATACATGATTATTTAATTTGCCTTATGCGTTAGATCAACGCTAAAGAATTTATAAGATTTTCCTTTAATACTTATAAGTAAAGGAAATATGCCCGGTCGATCACCTTGTGCCGTCCTTGCATTGTAACTTTTACTCGTATTGTTCTATCCGCCATTTTGGATTCCCATTACGAATATGCTTACCTGTAGATTATTACTTATGTTAGTTCCGAAGTTCGAGAGTTAAGAACCTCTCGGTCTTCGGTTCGAATGATAAAAATCTTATACTAAAAGCATATATTAATACTATATAATAATTACGAATGCAAGGTCTGAGAGAAATAAATTAACTCAATTGTCTCAATATGAAACGTTTTATGAGAAATCTACAAAATTCAGGAGCTGTTCCGACAATAAGTGTATAATTCCATTCGTTACTCTGCGCGTTAATTATATTATATGTTTTTGCTAATATTTCAAATGTTAAAGATTTTCATTTAAATTTATTTAGTGAATGTCATTTTAGTCAGTAAATGTTTGCTATAATACGATTTTGCTACATGAATAATAATTCAGCTGAATCAAGTTTTTATACATATGCATTTAATGGCAAGATGCAACGCCGACCTTTTAAAATCATTAATCTCCGACACCGAGGGTTATAATACCCATTCTTCAAAACAAAAGATAATCGTGGTCCTAAAATAGCTGATCCTCTCAGTCACGATGTTTCAACTCAAGGATAGCCTATGCTAGAAACATTTCACGATATGGCTCTCATAAAATTATAATTTTACGAGATTTCATCAAGAGTATAATTAAAAAATGGTAATAAACATTTATTTTTATACTTGCTATTACAATTTAAACAAATTAATAGTTCAAAAGGTAAAATTAAATATAATTGTAAGATTACTTTTCTGTGGCGAAACTCAACGAAAAATATGCCATAGACCATCCATAAGTAGCTTTGAGCAGTGTTACTCTAGTATAGGCAGCGGCACGTAAGTCTAGCGCTGGCCGATACGTAGAGGGGATTGCTGCGCATGTGTACTGTCGCGGGGAATGGATGGGCCAATCGAAACTCTTCATTCCGCTAGCCCCCTTTATTTTTTACTTCTGCGCAATAACGGTCAGCGCTAGATTTTCGTGCCGCTACTTGTACTAGTGTTAATTTAGGTAAAAATATTAAGTTATTTACTATGATCTATGGCAAATTGATCATAGATAAATTGTGTTTCGTCTTCTGTACTATAATTAGTAACTATAGGTATAAATATCGTGCTTTCTCTTCTTTGGATTTCTCTTGAGAGAGAACTTTACTTGACTTCTCCATCTCTGTTTTTTTCTTATATTTTATAGAAAATTTATTGGTACAGAAATCTAAATACAAAGGAAATAACATACCTATACCTACTGGAAATGCTAATCATTTTAACGAGAACAAATATAAAGTACATAATTGACGATACAGATTTAAACAAATATTCACTTAACTTATATTACTTTAGATGTTTGAAGTGTATATTATTACTACATCGTTTTTATAATTTAGTTATTTAAATACATATAAGTATATATAAACTACTTTTCTTAGCGCTAAAGCAATAAATAACAAGACAAGGTAAACGTCTCAAAGTTCTTTGCAAATCGAATACATTTAAATTGTTCAAGAATGCAAAATGCCAAGCTCATATGTGTGCGTTGCACTTTTATGTATGAAACGTATATATTTGATGTCGCGAATAAAGAATCTTCGCATAAGTCTCTTCAATCGGCAGCTAATGTCTGAGCGTCGTGGTCAGTAAGAAAGCATCAGGAGCGGACTATGTGTTTCCACTGGTGTCTGTACAGCGCCTCTCTTATGACAGTGTACAGTTTTGAGGACGATGAGTCTTTCACTTGATCCATCTGGTTGGTGGACCGCTAAAGGCTGAGTTAAAATGCATAACTTTTGTGACCTGTCCGCTCTGTTAAGTAGTAGTAAGAACTCCGCCGTCCGGTAGTCACCGGCTATTATTTTTTCTTCTGTATATGTACACATCACTTTCAAGCCAGTGATGGATCATGACAAAGTTAAGAGATTTAGGTTAAAAATATCTCCTTAATTAAAATGTTATTTGTTTCAGGTACAATCATGAAACGATCCCGCCACAGGTGGCTGGCATTCTCTATATTTTGTAAGTATTTAATAAGTTACAACTTATGTGGCATTTAAGAAAATTACAGGAGTTTTAACAATTTTCTTTTATGTAGGAAAGTTTTATTCTACTTTAAAATATATCAAAAAAATTGATTCGTTATATTAGGTACACAACAATAAGATACGGTATAATTTTTAATTTATATTTTTTTAAGTTTAATGGCGTTACTACAACTTTTTATATAAAATTATGTATAATTTTTTTATTATTTATGTTATAAACATAAAACTGTCAATTTAGTAATAAAACAAAAAAGCTGGGCCGGCCGCAGAACAGGTAGAAAATAAAAAACGGCGGTTTTGTTCCCTTTGGAGTAGAGACTCTTGGGCCGTGGGGTTCAAGTGCACAGGCGCTAATTAATTATTTAAATTGCGCTAGGTAGATAGTACCGGTGTCCCCAGAGCTGGTGCTTTCCTCGCTCAACGAATAAGTATTGCAATATAGCGAAAATGCTGCCAGCGTAAAGGGGACCAAACTTTTTATGTAGATGAAGAAAATTGAAAATACTGTATATTTGAAAGTTATCTTTGGGTTTTTTAATAAACTTTATGAAATTTAATAGTAAGTAACTTAATAAACTAATGGCCTTAACCTTAAAACCGCCAACTCATCTTTTTCAATGGATTTACCAATGTGACGTTAAAACTTTACTCAGAATTCAACCAAATGTACAACCTTGAATTATGTAAATTTTGATTCTTTGACATTTTTTCTTAGGAATTTTCCTAAAATCCAATGCTTCTCTGTAGGTTAATAAGAATTACCTTTTAACATATCTTAAGTAATACTACTACTCTCATTTTATAAGCTGTATATTTGAACTTTACGAAAGTAGCAAGTTGAATCGACTTATAAAGACCAACCATATTTGTATTATTGGTTTTATTAATAAAACCCAGAAAAGTTCAGTTAGGCAACAAAATAACGAGAAAAATAGATTGAGATTTAGTTTCTTAACTTATATAATTTTAGGCTTCTTATACTGTTATATTTATTTATATGTTTCGTATTCATACAGCTAACATAAATTATATATAACAAACAACACTCAAACTAAAGCCAAAGATGACATAGGTACCTACATAATATATACAAAAAGGTTCAAACATTTTCGAAATGAAAAATCTATAAAAATTATTAAATATTAACTAAGTAATACCTAATTCGGGTGTGTTGTGTGATGATGTGTAAGTCTCGGTATGTAGGGAGCGAGTGGATGTGGGATGTGCTCATGATGCAGGTGATTTTGCGCTATGGATATTCCTTTTAAGCATATTCCGCGATAGCTTAAAGAAGTCGAGGCTTAAATAGTGGTCGTTCTATGTGGCTGCGTGATAGTTTTTTTTACTAGGCTTTTTCAAATACTAACACCCACAAAGGCATTATAATATTGATCAATTAACTTAACACAGTATGCACCGGAACTACACCTTTTATTAAAGGTTAAAGAAAGGAATGAATTTTATTCCAGGTGTAGCAGTTATAGCATTCTCGAGTCTGCCCAGTACAACAGCGAAACGAGCTACATCACTTATCTTCGCAAAGACCACAACCACCACTACTCCTGCACCAGAGGAAGAACCGTCAGGCCCCGATGATGAAGCACAGGTAATTTCTTGCATTTTATGTCTCTCAAATTAATTGCTATGTTACATACTTATATATTACCATTCATCGAATATAATATACATTAATAATATAGAATTCTTTATGTGCAATGAGTAGGGTTTTCGCAAGTCAGGTTTCCCAGGCAAGTCGTGATAAATTACTTCTATATGTATATATCTATATGTGATATCATCATTTTATATATCTGTGGCCATAAGTCGGAATATGACTTTTTTTGACAGGCAATAAAATTATTAGAATCTTGAAGGCATTATTAAAATATGAAACACTCGATATATGAATGAATATATTTATCAATTAATATCTTTTAAAAAAAACCATTGCAGCCATCTACGTGGACAAAGTTGCATTCTTAAATCCCCCTTGAAATGTGTGTTCTTGACTTATTCTATCGTATATGTTACTTGAAACCGTGGGAATCCCACCTCAGTTATCAGTAAAATGATTGAATAGAACGATTATCAACTAAGATTGTTTATCATATGAACGTAAAATTTTCTCGAACGAAAAGAAGAAAACCCTTCTATTCTGGTCAATGTCACATTATAACGGAAGTAAAAAGTAGATCGCCTCAACAAGTAGTGTCGTTTCCTGTTACACTTGCCTCATTTCCTATCATAACTATACATTGATTTAAAGTTATTGCTGTTAAGTTACCCGCTGATTTAAATTGCAGCTAAAATAGCTTGAAGAAATTCCTAAAAATTTTCACTCAGTTACAAAGCTGTGTAATGTAGTAATGTAACTATAGAATCCGTATAGTAAAACTATATTTATGATTATGTTCCGGTGCGTGAACTGTAATGAAAATCTTCCCTTCCCGAAGAAAACTAAATGAGAGATATTGCGTCTTTTATAACATATAATAAAGATTTGATACTAGTTTAATACAAAATATTGTAAACCTACTTTAAAAGAGTAAGTGTGGAGTTTCTTGCCAATTCTTCTCCACACGAAACTACCTTTTGGAAGGGGCAACTAGAATCTTCTTTGTATTTTTTTTGACGTTCAAAAGTGCCATTTTAGGTGGTCTAATTGAAATGATTTGACTTTGACTTTGAATATTATGCTTATGGGAGCAGTGTTGGCTTCAGCGTGCGACTCTCATCCCTAAGATCGTAGGTTCGATCCACGGCACCAATGGACTTTCTGTCTATGTGCGCTTTTAACATTCGCTCGAACGGTGAAGGAAAACATCGTGATCAAACCGGCTAGCCTTAGGCCCAAAAATTCGAAGGCGTGTGTCAGGCACAGGAGGCTGATCACCCACTTGTCTATTAGATTTACAAATGATCATGAAACAGATACAGAAATCTGGCTGAATCTTTGAGTAATAGCGTTTTTAACGGTCACCAGCAATTATCATCGAATACTTTTTAATAAAAATATTTTCCATTCCATCCAGATGGAAACCACAGCAGAGGGAGCTGAGACAAACACAACTTCAAAGTATTCTGGAATACCTCAACTTGACTACATCTATGACCCCAATTTACCAAGAGAGCTGAATGGGTACAATTTATCCGAATATCCATTCTATGCAACAGTTCCACCTCCAGAGACAATGGACTTCAAATGTGAAGGTCTACATGACGGCTTCTACGCTGCAATACCTCATAAGTGTCAGGTATTTATAATATATCACTAAACTATTGATAATTTTAGTGTAACTCTGAACCATAGTCACTAACTAAAGGAATAATTTATTATAAACTTACTATTTTAACAGCCGTTTTATAGTAGTTTGAACACTGTAGTACTAACTTAACGGTTTTAATAACTTTTATACATATAATAGTACTCAAAATTTGTCTTGTTTTTGTAAGACCATTTTGAGATCTTTGTAATAGTTTAGGCAAACCAGGTATTTTGAAGTCCCAATTTGGCAGGAGACATGTCTGCAGGTGTTTAGTAAATAATTTCCCTTCACAAGTAAATTAACAGCATTATGTGCTTTGTCCTTTGGATCAAAGCTATGTCGTCAACCTTTACGATGGTCTTTTTACCGTATATGTCGTATTTACGCACATAGAAAATCTGTAAGACAGGGTTCGAATACACGACATCAGGGTTGATAACCTTACGCTCAACTATTACGTCAATAGTATTTCCAATTCGACTCCCCAGCACGTTTGCCCCGTAATATAAACAAAAATAACATTCCTGTCTAGAGAGACTTATTTCCCTCTCTAAATATCATACACAGTAATTAAAATATAATTACTAATTATTCAAGGTGTACCATCATTGTCTCTTCGGTACGCGGTATGACTTCCTATGCGCCAACTACACAGCATTTGATCAAAAAACGTTCATTTGTCAATTCGTGTCAGAAGTAGACTGCAAAAATTCAGCCAACTATTTCCATAGGTAAGCGAACTTGTCATCATTTAATTGATTCAAACATATTTTATTTATTAGACTAAGAAGTGACTTTCCAAAAACTGTGTCTTGTTATATTAAAAAATATGAAGAAGTGAATTTTTATTAATATTACAGAAATGAAGCGCTCTACAAAGCTACCACCAGCGCCACGCCGCCACCTCCTCCAAGTACTACAACTACCACAACAACCACTAGGCCACCCAGACCTCCACGGAGAAGGCCACACCACCGATATGACTACTACGATGATGATGACTATTATTACTCGAGGGATAGAGATGAATATGATGATGAAGAAAGGTAAGTCGACTGCTTTATAATTTCAGTTAAAACTAATCATAACTTATTTCTACATATTATACATATGTAAATGTATTGTTTCTTAATTTTACAGAGGTGGCAGAAGAACTAGGCCACGTGGAAGACCAGGAAAAAGACGGCCTCATGACGACTATGATGACCGGTAGGTTGTCTGATACAAAAACACATTGCTTACAATAAATTCATAAATTATTTTAAGGAAAAAGCGTTTAATATTATTTTATTATCCATTACAGGTATGACACGCGTTCAAAATCACGAGATGTTGACGAAGATGATTACGATGACAGAAGACCCTATGAAAGACCCAGAAGCAAAAGACCAGATTATAGAAGACCATATGATGAAGATGAAAGAAGACCTTATAAAGGCGGAAGACGTCAACAAAAGCCCAAGGAAGAAATAGACGATAGATATAGAGATGAAGATGATGAAAGGCCAAGAGCTAACAGACCGAAAACACCAAGAGATGAATTTCGTTCTCGGGATGAAGCACTTGATGACAAAAAAGATAGAGATAGAGATGATGATACTTTAAGAGATGAAGTACAGCCAAGAGACGAGTTAAGAACTAGAGATGAGAAACGGCCTAGAGACGAGACACGACCGAGAGACGACATACGACCCAGAGATGAAATAAAACCAAGGGATGAAACTAGGTCGAGAAGCGAAAGCCGACTGAGAGATGACATTAAACCCAGAGATGAAATTAGGCCACGTGCTGAAGGTAAACTAAAAGACGATGTCAAACCAAGAGACGAATTTCGGACACGAGATAAAGACGAGAGACGGCCTTTGGATGATAACCGTTATAATAGGCCAAGAGAAAAAACAAATGAAGGTCGTCGAATATATGATAGACCGTATAGAGGCAGAGATGAGCGACCCCACCCAAAACAAGACAGAAATAATGACGATGAAAGACGTGAAGAAAAAAGACAGGCACCCACGGCGCCTGATACACCGCTAGTCAAACCGAACGGTCAAGGAATTTTTAGTAAACCTAGAATGCCTCCGAAAATTAAACGGCCAGTGCCACTAAGTGAAAAAGATAAGTATGAATATGTACCAGTGTCTACAGCAAAAGCGTCATCGAAGCCCGAGGAAGAGTATTATGATGATTATGAGGATGAAGATGAGACTAAAGCACTTCCATCAGCGAAAACGAGCACGATACAACAACGTCCAAAACCAGAGCCACTTGAAAGAGAAAAGTTCAAACCAAGACCTGCACCAACAAAAAAACCTAAACGCCCAATAGATTACGAAGATGAAGAATATGATTACGAACCTCCAACAAAAGCAGTCAAATACACATACAATCAGAAGAGAAATGATCGACCTATCGATGGATCAAAAACAAAAGATTATGATTATGATTACGATGAAGATAAAGAAAGAACGAGCGATGGAAAGAACGAAGAAATAGTTAATAAAATGAGAGAAATAAGGCCTAACGTCAAAGTTGTTAAACGTCCTTTTTTACCGTCTAGGGGTGGAAGTCCCTACCTACCAAGAGGATTACAACCGGTAGGTGGAAAGAACTTAAACTCGCTACCAAGCACCACCCCTAAACCTACTTCTACTTCAACTACTACAACTACTACTACTACACCAACAACTACTACCACGACTACTACTACTCCTGCACCAACAACAACTATCCCCACAACAACAAAACAAACTACGACAACTTTAGCAACGGAAAGACCAAGCACAGATCCTAAAGTTGAAGAAGAATACGAATATTACGACGAAGAAGATATTGAATATGAAAACAACAACAAAAAGGAACCAATAACTACAACGACTGAACTTGAAACTGCACCACCCCCAACAACAACACAAGAAAACAAACCAAAAGATTATCCGAAGCTTGCAGAGAAACAAGAAAACAAAGCTAAAGATTTAGCCTCAAAAGTATTGAGAACTTTCAATGATAACTACGAGGCAATGAGAGAACAATTAGAATCAACATTAAAACCCGCCGCTTATTTGAAACCATATTTATCACAAGAGAAACCAAAACCAGAAATATCCAAACCTTACACGGCAACTGGAAAACCTTTACGAATCCCTGAAGTTTCTATTAAGCAGAATCTAGCTGATTCTTTAGAAAGTGAATATGATGAGAGGTATAACGAAGCCACACCAAATTTGGCCAACATCAGAGGGTCAACTGGTTTTATTGTTCCTACAAACAGAGATTACACATTCACTAGGTTTAGAAATAACATACAGCCCGAACCACAATTTGCAGCATCAGAACTATCACAGTATCAAATATATAAACGTCCTCAAATATCTGGTGTAAGCTTAAGAACGCCGACATCATACTACTTAAAGCCTCAACTGAGTTATGAACGATTGGCGCGACCAGCCAGACAACTTGTATATAGACCATTAGGAGATTTCTTTTAAAATTTCAGTGGTAACCTTTGAAAGATACTGTATAAAGAAAGATGTACTAAGATTATCATGGTTAAGCGCAAAACGGTGTTTACAAAATTTACTAGAAAATGATGTTTTTATCCCGTTGCCTAGTCACGCGATAGATAAGGTTGTTCTAGGAATCTAAATACTCATCTCATACATTACTTTTATCAGTTAAATCTTTGGTATTAAGTACATTAAGTTATAAGCAAAAAATCACTGCCAATCACACTATTAATAAATTAATAATAAATGAAGATATAGATAGTCTTTGTGAACCCACACTTTTTTCAGATATTGACAAGCTATACCAGCGCGATCTCTGTTATATTTACTGTTGACCTCATATATTCTAGTTACCTAACCTATTTTTCAAAGGTTACCCGAACAATTGTAAAGTCTTATCGATTTATGTAAAATAATTTCTAAAATAGCAAGACTTTTGCAATTATATATAAGCACTGATATTGGTAATACGAATTTGTAATTATTGTATTTTTAAGGTTTTGTAAAAATAATGATAAAATCTTGAAAAATGTCGTATTTTATTTGCGTTTGATGCCCAGAAACAAACACATTTACTGTTGAAAATAAATGATCACAACCTGAAGTTCGATTTCCAATCTTCACCATAACAGTGTTCTGTTCTCTAATTATTAAAATTGCAAGAGACTTGAAATTGGAGAAGAAAAACAACAAAAATATAAATAACATAAAATTTATGTACTTCTATCACCACCTTTTTACAAACACATTAAAAGATTAATTATAATAATGTAATGGTGTCCTAACTCTGGTATCATTTATATACAAATTTAAATCATTTTGCATGCAGTTTTATGGTTTCAAAAAACTATAGTATGATGATAATATAAACTTGAATGTATATTATAAAATAAATGGCCGACTATTCAATATTAAAAATTTCGTAAAATACATAAAAATACCAATATGTGTCTTTTATAGAAGTTTAAATAATATTTTGAATAGAAGAATATTCGGAATTGACTAATGGAATAATGACCATTTATTTACTTAAATATATTTTACCTTAATATAAATATATTTTAAAATTGCGTACCTTCAAAAATAATTTATAAAAAGTATACTCCTAAGCGACGTTCTGGAAATTGGACTTTGTACATTTTTATATATTCTGACAATGTCTTCGAACCCCTTTATTCATAAAATCTTTTTAATTGCACTAATTTAACTAAAATATTTATATTTCTCTTTTCAATATAGCATAAAAGCAATTAGACGGAAATAGAGAGGTAGTCTATATTACACGAATTTCGTTTTTTTAATAAGAGGACTTTAGTTAAACTTCATTAATAGACAATACAAAAATAAACACCAGGCGCATTTTTTTCGGTGACAATTTCTATATTTTTTTTTAATAGAACAGTGTGAAATTGGCTCCTTCTGATCACGCACATCGGCTCACCCGATGTTAAGTGATACCGCCGCCCATGGACACTCTGTGCCAGAAGGCTCGCGAGTTCGTTGCTGATCTTTATAGAATCGGTGCGCTCTTTTCTGTATTTCGCTTGCCATTTAATGTAACATTTTAGAACTGTCATAGCAATTTCTTTGATCCCTAAGCGACACGTAAATAGTAGGGCAGTCGTAGCGAAATTTTCTATATTTATAATTAGTTCTAAATAAGTTGGCGCAAAGTAGCACTTTGATTATAAAACACAATGCGTTTACATCGTCTAGTTTTCATGCTGCGGAGTAGTTTCCTCGATTACTTTTAGGTGTAGGCTTAAGAACTTGCCATAAACACACCGTATGAATAGTATTCCAATATCAAAGTCGTGAACTCTCGAATTGGCTCCTTAAACTCCTAAACTTCACACTCCAAGACCTCGTGGAAAACGGTGGAGTCTTCAGATCCATTATCACTTTTCCGCTTTGCTCTTTTGGACTCATTACTTGTTCACCTGTTTTCGTCTCTCCATTAGCTTCCGGTATCTCTTGACTCTCATCCCCATGAATGAGTCTATTGATTGGGAATTGCAGTTTGTAGAAGACGAATGATGACCCCCATATCCAAAGCTGGTAAAGGCAGACCTGCCACCATGTCATCACACCGAATACTTGGTACAACCAGCGATGTGTCGCAAAGTATATTGTGTAGTATCTGAAATTTTTGGTATTTTTTAGTGTTTTGTATGGTTTATTATCATAGAATATAACCTTATATAAAAACTTAATAAGCTTAAAGCCTGCTCTAGATCATTATATAGTAGTATATTAAAGTTTTGAATATCTAGATTTCAGACATAAGACATAGATAACATTTATTACTAACGAAACACACACACAGAAACACACAAAATAATAATAATAATCAAAAAAGAAAAATGACAAAACATGGAAAGAAAAAAAACAGGAATGAGGTACATTTTAAGTGTGTAGTGGGTGTGTGTTGTGGTTGTTACTGGCCCTGACTCAGCATAACATGATCTACTTACACAACAGCGTACATAAGAGCCACGCTCCAATATATTGTGACTTCCACCTTCTCATCAGTGGGTTGTCTTCTGGGCTGCAGCAGCGTCTCTAACGCGAGCACCACCAGGATATTAGTGTGGACGCAGTGGTTGAACCACCAGGGGATCACATCATCGTAGATCTTCGGAAAGACCAGCTCACGGTCAATGGCGTAGACCGTCCAGAACATTGATGAGACGAACTGTGTGCATTACACAAGTTATAATAATAATATAAACAGTTCAAAGTTTCAAGAGCATTGTTGGCCTGGTAACAGTTTTGAATTTCGTCGCACGAATTTGATGATACTGATTATGCAGGAGTCTCGGGGATCTTCATTGGAACACCTCCAAGTGATTTTTGCCGGAAACGCGTCTAAGTATTTTTTTTTAATTTAAAGTTTTGTGAAATGTATTGAAATTTGTAAACAATCCGTCATTTTCTACTCTTTAAGCCCAACCCGTTGGCCTAGTAGTTTCAGCGTGCCACTCTTACCCTTGATGTCTTAGGTTCGATCCCCGGCTGTGCGCCAATGGAGTTTCATTCTATACGAAACTTTAAATAGATAGTCGAGGTAACTAATTATGAATTATATATGATGTGGTGTACTTTAATAAATATTTTCAGATAGTAAATAAATATTTAATCATAAGGATTTATATTAAACAAATTTAATTTACACGGAACGATACCCTACCCTCAAAATATTTATAGGAAGTAGTTTAACTTACTGTAGTCTCTTATTATTTTTCACAAAGCATTTAAACTATCAAATTATTAAAACTACCTTTCATTCAACTTACAAGCTGTGCTGGTCGAATAATATAGTACCTACCTACATATTTTTTAGAATTAATATAATTGAAATATATTTTATTAAATTCAGTCGCTTTTATTATAATAAGCAATACTTTATCAATCGCTTATGAATGTCTTGAAGAGAACATTTACTATAATTATTTTGTTATTTGTTACTATAAAACATACCAATGTGAAGGGCAGCACACACCCACAGAACAGGACATCACGCCAATAGCGAATTTTTGTACCCAGGTTACCATTGTCTTTGCCAGCCCACTCCAGAAAATCATATAGCAGGGATAGACCGAGGAATATTGTTTGAAACGACTGTGAACAAAACACTATTTTAGTTTTTCTTCATACATTTTATCGGTAGACATCGCTACTCATCGGCAAAGAAGACAGAAGGTGTAGGCCGAGAGAAAAAGCCGGCGTAAAAAACTCTTAAACATCTCGGTACTCTTTTAAAATATCGAATCATGACTTTGGCAAACATAGATAGAAGAAATCAGAAAGGAGGGAGACACGCTCTTTATTTGTATTAAATTACAAAACTAAACGGAATCCTCACAGTCCAAACAAATACTACAAACTATAGACAGACCCTAGACGTATAAAATCTATTTGATAACATTTGAACTCTTATCAAACACGTGAAATCCCCGTGCCATTAGAGGAATCTAAAATTAAAAAATATTTGACGTCACAATTTTAGAAGAACTAGGCCAGTACATTTTTTTAAAAACATCACAAAGCTATCTATCTTCAGATTCAATGGTTTTATTGTTATTGTTCACATCTAATAATTATAATTATAGATTTCAAGAACGTTGCATCTGAACAGATAAGTTGTTTATCCCAATTAGTTAAAAAAGATTAAAGGGAGCGTAGGGCAGTCAATGTGCTATTTTAACATGCAATCCTAGTAATATTATAAACGCGAAAGTTTGTAAGTTTGGATGGATGTTTGTTAGATACTATTTCACTTAAAAACTACTCCATTGATTTAAATAAAACTTTACAATAATATAGCTTATACATCAGAATAGCACATAGGCTACAATTTATAAAGGTATTGTGTGAATTGTCCACAATATCAAGTAAGTAGGAAACAATCTACCATCTGCGAGCTATTCTGGCGTGCGTTGCCAAAACCGCTAGTAGTAGTACATATGTAATTTATGATGGAAATGTTTATCTTAAATAGTCCTACAAAACATCCCGCCACCGTATGTATCTATATCTCATGTGTCATTATAGCAAAAAAGTGAACCATAACTACACTAAAAAATGGATAATTTATTTCTAATGCAAATTTGGTAATAATAAATTGATTCCTAAACGAAAATAGACACTTTTATCACTTCTGGTATTTAAAGTAGACAAAATATGTCTCACGCTACATCATTTGGACAAATATTATTTTAATCTAGCTAGTTATGAATAAATAAATCTTTGGTGACAATCAGAAGCGATCGTGTACATTAGTTTTTTACTTCATTTACTTTATTAAATAATCACGCAGTAGACGAAGCTGAGGACGGCAATAGCCTGTAGTATATAATAGAGTGAGAAAACAATATGAATAAAACCAAATGCAATACTAAATTACAGCACGATGCGGAAACGTCATTCCTAAATACCAACTAACAAATATATAAAACTCCCGGATTAGTGTATCAAGATAAAACAATTGTTAATGACCGCCTACGACTAGGTAATAAGCGGAACAAGTTATCATTAAGGCCAACGACTCGGTCAAAGGGCTGACTACGTGTGTTATCACAACTGATAAGTTTCGACACCATATTCCGGCACGTGACTGACATGAGTTCAGGACTGGCGTAAGAAAGTGCGGAACACAAACGTTTTTCAATAGTGTAATTTGGCAAAATTGTATTGTACGAGGGTGTACTTGTGTTAAGAAAACTTGGTACACTTATTTCTTTTTAATCAGAGGTTTTAGTTGAACTATGAAAAGGGAAACTGTCACATATAACATCGTGTGTTATAAAATAACAGCATCATATAAATCGTATGGTAATCGACACAGATTAATGTCGTGCATATATTTCGATCTATGCTAATAAGTATTTACAAGAAAGACTTGTATTTGTAATGTATTAAATAAAAAATATTATATTATTAATTAAAAAATGTTACAAAATACCAATCACAAAACTACTTATATCATTAGATTCGCCAAGGCATTCAACCAACCAAGGCAACCCAAGGGATCAAGAGCAGCCGCCAAGATGCTCCATTAATTGCGGAAATTGGTAGAAATCACTAGAAGCTAGGTCCGGTGACTATGGAGGACGTTTTAATAATTCGTATACAGCTCTAGAATGGTAGAAATCGTAGTCTGGACTTGTGCGCGAGGGCTTTATCTTGGTGTAACAAAACAACTTTAGCGAGTTTTCCATGCCGTTGCTTACATATTTCCTCCATAACTTTGTTATTTGTCCTGCGTAGAAAGTGGAATGTTTTTTTGTATCTGGTTCATACTGAAGCCATGATTCGTCCATAGTTATGAATCAAACGGTTTACATGTCTCGTTGTAACATTATAAACAATGCTAAAAAGAAACAGTAACACGACGATCCAGTAAGACAATGTTTTCAACTTTTTCTGTTCACTGTTCACTGAGTGCGAGGGTCGTGATTAATGGATGTTCTTCCTCGCTTTTACTCAGCACACCAAAGCGCAACCGTAGAAAATGGAGGAGCATGAACCCCTAATGTTGCTCTCAAGTCTTCCTTTTCATTTACAAGCTCCGTAGTAAAGTTTTCAAACCACCTGAAGTTCAATTTTAAAGAACACGATCACGCCACAAACAAACAAAGTGTTTGATTAATTTTTATATTAGCTAAGTCTGGACATTGACAGTATTTTTTTCCTTTCCTAGGAGAATGGCATTATTACTATTTATTGAACATCCCTCGTTTATTCTTTCACTTTTGTTAATAGAAAGATGTAGATGATCAACACGTGATAAAAGAAATATTAATTTAGAAATACACTCGCGAGCAACTAAATCGACTCAAGCGCTACCTCTAGATTCAAACATGATTCTAAATAAAACTATACAACATTTAAATAAATATAATATGTCATTTGAAAGCTTGAAACCTAAGCTTTAAAAAAAACATCAACACCATTAAATAAAAGAAGTACCAAAATGTTAATTTGCGCAATTAGGGCGTATGGGACAAATTACTCACTACGCTACCTGCCAGTTGCGCTACCCTCTACCCCTATAAAAACCCCCGTTTCCCTGCCACCCTTATCAGTCGCTTATCAACAGTTGTCCGATACATATCTCCGCAACCTGCATTCATTGTTTTTAAGAAACCATGGATACCACACCTCAAGAAGCCGCTCAAGTTGTTGCCTTATTGGAACAAGGACTCAGTCAGCGAGTAGTCGCTTCCCAGCTTCACTTGAGTCAGTCTGCTGTATCCCGAGTATACAGACAATATCAAGAGACTGGAACATTCACTCGGAGACCAACAACCAGTTGCCACCGTTGTACTTCTGAACCAGACGACCGTTTCATTGTCTCAACCTCCCTGCGAAATCAGCACCTTACGGGTGTCGACGTGCAGGGCGAGCTGAGACGTGTTCGAGGAATAGCTGTCAGCGAGTGGACAGTAAGAAGACGTCTGATGGAAGCCAACCTGACTCCAAAAAGGCCTGCAACGGGCCCCAAATTGACTGCAGGCCACCGGCAAGCTCGGCTACAGTTTGCTCGAGATCATCTTAACTGGAGCATTGGGCAATGGCGGTCGGTCCTGTTCACTGACGAGTGTAGAATGTGACGGCATGGTAGTGACAAGAGAGGCTGGGTCTAGAGGCATATGGGAGAGCGATTTTCCCAATGCTGCTTCGCAGAAACCGTTGCCTATGGCGGCGGTTCTTGCATGATGTGGGCGGGTATCTCGTTGGGGGGTACAACCTAGCTCGTTTTCGTGCCTGGGGGAGGCCGAGGAGCAGGACTGACAGCTGATGGGTACATTACAAATATTCTCCTGGAACATGTTGTGCCCTACGCAGGATTTGTTGGCGAAGACTTAATCCTTATGCACGACAATGCTCGATGCCACACAGCGGGGCTTACTCAGCAGTTTCTTCGAGAAGTCGATTTGCGCACAATGGACTGGCCTGCGCTTAGTTCAGACATAAATCCCATCGTGCATGTATGGGATGAGCTCAAACGAAGGGTACGAGCAAGAAATCCAGCCCCTTCGAGCCTTGAATAATTGAAGGCAGCTTTGTTAGAGTAGTGGAAAAGTATTCCTCAAGACAACGTCAAAAAATTAATAAGGTCGATGAAGAACCGAATACTGGCTGTAATTAGGGCTAGGAGACAATACCAAATACTGAACCAATAAAAATTATACTTCTTAAGAAAAAAAACATGTTTTATTTGTGTCAATTCTGAATACAACTCCTTTACCCAAAATCCCATTTTTCCCCCATTTAAGTTCAGACATCAATAATAAAAATGTATGGATGGATATGAATAATGATGACATCTCATAAAAGCTGATGTTTTAAGCTTTCAAATAACATATTATTTTTATTAAAATGTTGTATACTTTCACTTAAAACAATGTTTGAATGCAGAGATAACGCTTGAGTCGATTTGCTTGCTCGCGAGTGTAGTTCTATTTATTGTGACTCAAGATTGAGATTTAAACATTGTCGTAGTTCTGTTCTCAATAATACATCAAAACTTATTAGTATATACACAAAATAAGTTTAAATAATAACATAAATGAGATATGTAAAAAAAGCTTTCTCGACCCTAAATGCAATTAGGTAAGATAATATATCAATTAAGCAGACGCAATATTAAAATTAACGTCAAAATACACCAAATTAATTTATCACGTAATAATTGCATGATAAACACTCATCAATTAATTAACAAATGATTATTTAGTATTATTAATTATAATAAGCTTAAATATTGAATAACACGATTATCAAAATTAATCTTTTTGGATAAATTTTTGGTTTGTGTCTGTTATACAAATCATATTTCATACACATTAAAACATCTACCTTTGTACAAGCAGTCTATTCGTAAAAGCTATCAATTACCACTCAAATTCAATTCAAAAATCATTTATTCATATAGGTAACAAAATGTACACTTATGAATGTAAAAAAAAATAATATGTAAAAGCATTTCGCTTTTAATTTACTTTTACTGCCAGTTCTCAAATCAAGGGCGTAGAACGTAAGAGAAGAACTGGCAATAAACTCTCCACCACTCTTTTTAATCGCCAAGTGTTTTGTTTAACTATATTCTTATATCTGATGAAGAAACTCTAAAAGTACTTACAAAATTCCATCCAGTTAAATACGCTAAACGGTATGTGTATAAACATTTAATATCAGGAACCAAACTTTGGTCTAAATGCAAACTATTCGCAAATAAACCAATATAGCAATGGTGTAAAATTGAAAATATATGAAAAACTGTTTTCCAATACAACCTCGCGTCACTGCGATCGAACAATTTCTCGTTTTCCGTTATCAAAAAGCACAAAACATTATAAAATATATTATTCTCCCGAAATAATATAAAATCCTCCATTATTAACTATTACTAAAACTAATTAACGCTATTAGACGCCCGAACGTCAAAGGGCGAATATTATTGTTAATAAGACGGTACACGCATTTTAATCGGTGTTGCAACTTGCAATACCTACATTCATACATTATCCAAAACTAAAAGCAGTCGAAACTAAATATACCTTTCAAAAACTATTTTAATTTTTTTTTAATAATTTTTAGTTAACTTTTTATTAAAAATGTGTGGGTGCGATTATAAGTAATAGAAAATCTTACTAATACAATTTATGGATAGCTATAAAATATTGTGATTGTTCCATATTGGTAATCATTTAATAACGCCTGCTAAAATATTCTTAGACATATGCATTATTTTAAAATCAATTATTAAAAACTTCAAGCGTTAAACTTTCCGCGCACCTAATTAGTTTTGTTGAGATCAATATTCTATATCTACATCAAACAAGTAACATCAACTTAACAAACTAACAGCAAGATGAAAATTATTATTATGACCGCTTATGCGTTTTAGCAATTCTTATTTTTAGGTATTTTGTAAGGAATAGTTATTTCAATAACAAAATAAAGTACCTGTTAAACTATCAAAACAAGGACACTAACCGCCTCACTCAGAGTAGTTCATGAATAATTACAAAGTGCTTGTCTTTAAGATACAAAATCTGTCTTACGAAATTGCAAATAAAACATTATATATAAAATAATTTTGAAAAGTAAGTATATGTATATAACTTTAGATAGGTATATATAAAATCAAACATTAAAATTGTTTATGTTTTACCATATAGAAACAATATTATATAATATAATGGTGTTTAATTATTGTAATTTTTTTAACAACATTATAACATTAAATTTTGACGTTTCCATTAAACATAATTTAATATCTGAACGATGTCGTAGAAGTTCAGCTCGTGATAGAGAGTGGTACAATGAGGAGAGGCCTATGTGAATGTTAGTCATCAGCAGCCAGTAGTTGGTGGTAAAAAATACCTATTAGATTTTTGCTTACAACTCGCGGCATTACCTGTACAAAGTACGGAACACGTATTTTAATAGCTATGCGTGTCACCGTAGTCTGACCCCAAGATAGCGTCACCGTGACGAAATAATACTATATAAAGTCTAATTTATGACTTGTTTACTTAATTAAGTTAAAATTTCGTATCAATAAGACGACTCTAAAATCTAAGTTAAGTTTAGAGTTTTAAAAAGTAAATTCTAGTTTCTCGCTTATAACGTAAATATCATTATTGATAAGAAATTTAAATTAATTGAATAAAAACCTTACTAACGGTTGACAAAAAAATTTAATTACAATATTTTCTGGAGTTTTTTTAATGTTGGCAACACAATAACCTACACTAATACAATTTAATCATATCTTACTGCCCTTTGTTTAACTGATAATATTCAACTAAATATTTTAACTGGACACTGATAACTACGCTATTTAACTGATTGTTTAACCATTCTACCATTATTAATACTATATTGTGTGTAACAAATAAGATTAACTAAAAAGCAACCAGTATTGGCCTGGTATATTGCAACAGCGACATTAAGGGCGTCTCAGATGCTGGAGCTGGAGGCAAATGCTCAGAATACCGTAGACAGTGCAGTTTCTTATTTCGGCCATACAATGCGCAGAGGCGATGAGAACTTGGTGAATCTGGTGGTTGGTAACACGAAAGGCAAAGATCACGTCGCCGTACACCAAGAAGATGGACCGATCAAGTGAAAGACTCATCGGCCTCAAAATTGTACAGTGTCATAAAATAAAATGTTTATTGTGGAACAAGATACATGTACACTTGTCATAAATTTGAAGGCGCTCATCGGCAAAGAAGACAGAGGGTGTAGGACGAGAGAAAACCGGCGTAAAAACGCTCGGGAATAGTCTTTTAAAGATCATCAAACA